AAAAGCTAACATAAGCAGTAGCATTTACAAATAGCATTTATAAAAGTATAAGACAACAACAAACAAAAAACATAGGCCTACCATTAAAAGCCGTGCTTGCACAGGTTCTGCACGATCCTCTTCAATAATATCCTCTGCTTCTCAATCGGGCTCAAACTGATAAGCGATATTAACAACGCCGTTGTTTACAATACAACCGGAGCACATGCCACTGAGGTGAGGGGCGGGACGTTAAGAAGCGCACTAGAGACGGTTTAGCCAATCACAACACACTGGGCTAGCTAACCAATCAGAGCCCATCGCCTATTTCTGAGGGAGGGGCTTCATAAAAGAAGGAAATTGATCAGCGCATTTCTCAGAGAAGGGACAGAGCGGTGTGGAATAAAGGTAAATTATGTGAAACATAATGCGTTTTTAAAAAAACGAAGCATTAACACATGTTAGACTGTACCCCATAAACACAATCAAGCCTATAAAACAACCACTGAACCACCCCTTTAAGTGCAGTTTTTCAAGCTCAATGAATCATCTCATAACAGTGCAGATGCGATTTAAACAAGTGATTCATTGTGCAGTTCAGAGAGCTTCACTGATTATAATGGAACCTTGTGAGACTGCCATAAACTAAGATGAGTGACAGCTTTTTAGTGATTATAAAGGGAGTGAGCTTTGTGCACTTTCTAGACTATAATCCATTCAGAATTTTATGAAACTTGCTTTTCGGACACATACACACTGCAAAGTTCCGGGAATGATATCCTCATATTTATGCTGGATTCACTCTCGAAATAGTAATGACTGACATAGTGATAACCATAGCAATGGACGAGACAAAAAATATATGTGAGAGCACCCTCAGTTATTTAATTCTGGAACTAAGAAATTGACCGTTCGCAAAAAGATTGATTTACAGGCGATCTGGCCAATCATAACGCCAAATCCACCATCTTGCCCGACAAACAAATCAGACAGAGTAGATTAATTTCGGTGGACTTAATCTTGAAAAATTGTGTATTGACGTTTTTTCATGGTTGAAATAAAATCCGTTATGACGTTCATTCGTTTATTTCGTGCTTTAAAGCTGCAGTCCGTAACTTTTTTATGTTCAAAATTTACAAAATGTATATAATAAGCGAGTACACCATGAATCCATTTTCCAACCAGTGTTTTTGACTTGTCCTGAATCACTACGGTACACCAATAATAAGTGTATATATTCAGACTGGTTCGGGTAGGTACCGCTGCGGAGTAGCCCAGTACACCTGCATAATTCCTCCTAGACATAAACAGAGAGAAGTAGTTCCGGCTACAATGTTCTTCCGCAAGACGCACGCAGTTCTGTTTATTAACCGCTAGAGCACCAAAAGTTACGGACTGCAGCTTTAAGTAAATATGAAAAGACGATCGGTTCATGTGTGCCGCTTGAATTGAGGCAATACAGCAATCTGTCACAATACATTAAAGAGCCACAAAACTGTATTTATTGTTTGAATTTCTTAAAAAAAGACAACTTTTTAAAGCTGAGAAGTAATCTGCTCTGTCCTGTCTGTCGGCGTGTTGACCGTTTCCTCTTTGCTCCGCAACGTATTTATTACTGCGTGAGAACATGGTGTGTAATGTGAGAGAGGCATGGCTTGTCCGACATAGCAACAGTAACTAAGGAGGGCGGGGTTTTGCGAAGGGTCAATTGAGCACGTTCAGAGCGAGATTCAGTTCATGGTCCAAAAGCGTGAATAAACTCTATTGGGATCAGGACATATCAACCAGCAATTTCATATCCAGTAACAGATGGTAGAAAGTTCAGGAATAAATGGCTTTGGTAACAACAATTCACAATTGACAGATTTCTAGTGACTGGATTTGGCAACTGAAAAAAATTCAATAAACATCAGAAAAGCAGCATGTACGTTTCTGATTAAAAATTAAAAGTCCATCAGCAGACACTTAAAATGAAAAACATCACCATTCAAATCAACAGCAAGAGTCAGAGGCAACGTTATTCTCATTATCAAGTTATTCTTGACTGTGCCATATTGAGAGCTTTTATGCTGGGCTGTATTGTTGATACTTGTATCCGTAAAGACTTTTGAGAAAGAAATTTGTGCCTTTTTTTTTTCCCCACCGACTCAAGAGTAGATTACTTACAAATTGTAATCCGTTAGCGAGTCCAAATTACATGACAAAAATTGTAGTCAGTAATGTAATCCATTACGTTACACATTTTAAGTAATATAATCAGACTACTTTTTGATTAATTTTAGATTACTTTTGTCCTAACTCGTTTATCACATTGATTTAAATAGGAATTTCTTGAAATTAACAACATGAAGTGTTTTAAACATTATATTACATCAAGGTTTCTCAAACTGGGGTTTGTAAAGGAACTGCGGGGGGTTTGTGAGTTTAATGAAAAGCTAAAAATAAATACTTTTAAAATAATCAAATTAAAACACTTACTAAAAAATGAAATATTTTATGTTCACCTGCATGCCATTTGAACATTAACCAATGTCAGAGAACTGTGAACACGCAAATGTGATACTTAATTATTAAAATATTTATTTTTAAATCTCAGGGGTACTTAAAGGGCTCCTTAAAGGGGTCACTTTTTTAATTTTTGTTAATGTGTAATGTTTCTATTTGAGCATAAACAACATTTGCAAAGTTCAATGCAAAGGGAGATATTTTCTTTTACAGAATTTGCTTTTTAATGCCTACAACAAACGGCTGGTAGGGACTATAACAAGTTTCTTCCTTGGTTTGTGACATCATAAACCCTAAAACCCTGCCCACGGGAGCACACAATCACAACACACTGGGCCAGCTAACCAATCTGAGCCCATTGCGTATTTCTGAGGAAGTGGCTTCATCGAACCATGAAGTCAACAGACCCTTTTTAAGAGAATGGAAACAGTAGTAAAATATATGAAAAGTAATGCCTTTTTTTTTTTTTACGAAGCATGAACACGTGTTACAGTGCCCCCATAAACACTATAGCAAAATAGCTGGTTGACCACCCCTTTAAAGGCAATACATTAAGTGAAAGAGGTTCAGATGACAAAAAGTTTGGGATTACTGCATTACATGTAAATAATGAGTTTGAAAGTCAAAAGCCTTTCAATAATACATAACACATGGTTAAATAACCTACAGAGTGATAATTCAAATAAAAATGAATGTTCATCAGTAGTTGATGCAATGTTGAAACACTTCTAAAACCTGAAATGATTTTTGTAAATCAAATGGTCAAATGCCATGTAGCCACCTAACTAATGACTGATCTCTGTGTGAATGTCCACAAAACTGGACTTTCTGCATTTATATAAGCGGCAGGCTATTTTAGAAAGGAAAATTTCAAAGATGAAAGAGAGGAATTAGGGAGAATGAATAAATTATGAATAATTTATTGCTATTGTGTGAATAATAAGAAATCATCTAATCTATAAAAAAGTAACTGTAGTCTGATTGCGAGTATTTTAAAATGTAATTTACTCTAATTACAAGTACATAATTTTTGTAATCTGATTACATGTAACCAGTTACTACCCAGCTCTACTCACAACCTATTTTACTTTTATATATATATTCATGTTAACTTTATCATACAATTCAACTGTTATGTGGTAACAGGTGTCACATTATGAATATAATATTTTATTATCGCTCTTCTAACTCTATTGCAGTCACCTTGAGGTTGTTGTAGTGGTCAAGGCTGCGGCAGTGCTCTGATTTTGCTCTCTTCTCATCAGTGTAGAATATGTTACACAGCTTGCAAAAGAAACCAGTCACTGGGATGACGTAGTTCACACCTGAAATAAGGTAAGATAGTTTTAGAAACTGAAGAAATAGACATTAAAGGCAATACAACATCAAATTCTTTGGTCATTTTTGTTGTTTATGAAGCACAACATAAAAAAAAATCACCACCAATTTTTGTGTTAAATGTATGTAAAGCAAAATTTTAAATACTCAAATAATTATAGCCAATATAGAGCCTACTCTGAAGTAGGAGCTAATTTAGTTCCCTCAGACGGAGTTCCTAATACAAGCAAGTGTGTGATGGACTTACCCACAATTTGGTCTGGTTGATAAGGGTTCAGAGGGGTTTTGTCCAGCTGACTATTCTCTTCCGAACCTTTAGTTTCACAAACTGGATCCCCACCAACACCTTCACAATCCGGTAAAGAACTGTGCTGGTTCTGTACACACATATTTTCTCTTATATGATTTTTACAGACAGAGATATCAAATATACCTGACACTTGGCTACCTTTCCCTTTAACTCACCCATTAAAAAAGTTTAAGTTCTGCATTTAAGCATGACTCTTTAGATCAAAATGTTTCTATTTAAAGCACAAGAACAGATTTAGTCAAATGTGTCCAAGATGTTAATGTTCACCTCCTTTGCTCCAGTCTTGATTACCTGGTCATTTTCTGTCCTTTCAGTGCTTGGTTTAATTTCTTTTGTTTCCTTTTTTGACTTTCTTTCCTCTGCATTTTCAGGGTATCTCCTATAATAAAAGAGCATAAACTGAAGATGTCACTACAAACAGAAAATAATAATTTCTTTGTTACTTTCCCAATGGTTGTTACATTACATGCACACTCATGCAAAAGCATCACAACAAAAATGTTCTCTGCACTAGGATGGTTTTCCTAGTTTCCAATTATATATGAAAGTCTGTGTCTGTATTTGGCTGAAGTCATTTTGTAAAAACTATTTCAAGGTAGTCAGTTACAAAGAATTTTTATACACACCTGCAATCATTCATATTGCTGATAATATTTTTTAAATAGTAGTTTATAATGTTTCCTTATATCTGATGTCACCTTAATGTCACTTAAAATGTCAGTGGTATTTATATATACATATAAAGAAAATAGCACAAGCAAACAAAATTGTATCAAAGCATTTTGTTAGGTTCCAAATAAAACAACAGAAGAAAACACACAAAAAAAACGTCATTTTCTGTCCTTTCAGTGCTTGGTTTAATTTCTTTTGTTTCCTTTTTTGACTTTCTTTCCTCTGCATTTTCAGGGTATCTCCTATAATAAAAGAGCATAAACTGAAGATGTCACTACAAACAGAAAATAATTTCTTTGTTACTTTCCCAATGGTTGTTACATTACATGCACACTCATGCAAAAGCAGCACAACAAAAATTTTCTCTGCACTAGGATGGTTTTCCTAGTTTCCAATTTTATATGAAAGTCTGTGTCTGCATTTGGCTGAAGTCATTTTGTAAAAACTATTTCAAGGTAGTCAGTTACAAAGAATGTTTATACACACCTGCAATCATTCATACTGCTGATAATATTTTTTAAATAGTAGTTTATAATGTTTCCTTATATCTGATGTCACCTTAATGTCACTTAAAATGTCAGTGGTATTTATATATATAAAAAATAAATAGCACACAAAAATGTATCAAAGCATTTTGTTAGGTTCCAAATAAAACAACAGAAGAAAACACACAAAAAAAAAATTCTAACTTAAAACAAAAACATCTGAATATGCCCACAGTTAAAGGAATAGCTCACAAATGAAAATAGGCTGAAAATGTACTCACCCTCTGACCACCCAAGATGTAGATTAGTTTGTTTCTTCATCGGAAGAGATTTGAAGAAATTTATCATTACATGATTTGCTCACCAATGGATCCTCTGCAGTGAATGGGTGCCGTCAGAACGAGAGTCTAAACAGCTGATAAAAACATCACAATAACCCACAAGTAATCCACACGACTCCAGTCCATCAATTAATGTCTTGTGAGGCGAAAAGCTGCATGTTTTTTCAGAAACAAATTCATCATTAAGATGTTATTAACTTTCAATGGTTGCTTCTGACAAAAACAAGTCCTCTAACAATAATATTTCTTCCTCCACTGGAAAAAGTTGTCTCGTCTGAATCAGGAGGGAAATATGCATATATTAAGCAAATACGTCTGTGGATTTTGATGTTAGAGGACAACAGGGGATAGACTTTTTTTTACTAGAAGAAGCATTTAACTGATGGACTGGAGTCGTGTGATTACTTGTGGGTTATTGTGTTGTTTTTATCAGCTGTTTAGACTCTCATTCTGACGGCACCCATTCACTGCAGAGGATCCATTGGTGAGCAAGTGATGAAATGCTTAATTTCTCCAAATCTGTTTAGATGAAGAAACAAACTCATTCACATATTGGATGGCCTGAGGGCGAGTAAAGTTTCATCAAAATTTCATTTTTGGGTGAACTATTCCTTTAATGACCTGTACTACAGAAAAGTGAAGTTAGTTCTGAAAAATGCTCCAGCAGGAATTGTTTGCAGATTTCTCCTTCAATGACATTTTAAAGTGTGCTCAAATGCTGTCTGGGGCCAACTATACATTCTGACTATTGCCTCAGAGTCAACAATGGAAATATATTTTACCATGTGTGTATCCACTCTAGTTAGTGACGGTTTTAATGAGAACACCTACCAGCGAATCAGAGAATCCCCTTTCCTGCACATAGCTATCTTCAGCACCGACCCCCAAAATTTGCAAGGCCTCCGACTGTACTGTGCAACCATTTTTTCAGCTGCCTTTGTACTTTCCAGTTGCATGTAACACTGAGAAGTAACAAGACGAGGCACAGGAAAAACAAATAGCATGAAAGGGTTATGATGGCACTCAAGAAAAAGTGAATATTCACAAATTTTGCTCTGCTGCTCATCACACACTGCAAAAAAGGGCCTTTCTTACTTAGTATTTTTGTCCTGTTTCTAGTAAAAATATCTAAATTAAGATGCATTTACTAGATGAGCAAAATGACGCAAGATATTTGGGGGGGGGGGGGGGGGTGCATTTTGCTTCAAATAAGTAACATTATCTGCCAGTGGGGTAAGTAAATTAATCTTGTTTTAAGAATATTTTACTTACAATATTTTACGTTTTGCATATTAATTTAGGAATTTTTTGATATTTTGACTAGAAACAAGACAAAAATACTAAGTAAGATAAGCCCTTTTATTGCAGTGCAGATAGTGATGAGGGAAAATGCGTGTATACGTACCGTTCCTTGATACCTGTTCAGAGAATAGCCAGTCAGTTTTCCAAAAGGTTTAGTCAGTTTGAAGAGGGATTTGTCTATGTATTTCTGTCGTAGGTACCTCTGGTTGGGAAGACAGCTGATGAAAACAGACCTCCCACTAGGGCTCTAAACATGGTGTGAAAGATTTGAAACCACCACAATCATTTTAGTTTAATTTGGTAATCATTTACATTTGGAATAACAATATTCTCAAGTGTTTACAATATATCTTTATCTTTAAATTATTTTGGCCATTACATGTTATATGGCAAGTCATGTTACACAATAGCCAGTCAGTTTTCCAAAAGGTTTAGTCAGTTTGAAGAGGGATTTGTCTATGTATTTCTGTCGTAGGTACCTCTGGTTGGGAAGACAGCTGATGAAAACAGACCTCCCACTAGGGCTCTAAACATGGTGTGAAAGATTTGAAACCACCACAATCATTTTAGTTTAATTTGGTAATCATTTACATTTGGAATAACAATATTCTCAAGTGTTTACAATATATCTTTAAATTATTTTGGCCATTACATGTTATATGGCAAGTCATGTTACATAAAACATATGTATTGATTGATGTTTTTTCCCCTTCCACCCAATATTCTATCTATATACTGAAAGTTTTTTATTTGTATTTATATATTTATTTTATCCTCCATTTATTCTATTCAGAACTTTTCTTGATGTTGCTCATGGATGTGTAGCAGTCTTAACATTCTTCTAAATAACTCCTTCTGTGTTCTTTGGAGAAAACAGCTCACACATTTGAGAGCACATGAGGGAAAGTACACAACAAAATGTTTTTTCTTTTATTTTAGTGAACCAAGTTGTTAAAGGAAGCCGTGACATTATGACTACCCTGGCAAACAAAAGTTATAGTAAACATATAGTAAAAACCATAATATTGTGAGAAGTTAGTGCAATTTAAACCCCAAAGCACAAACACATACCTCTATTGTTTTCATGGTAAGGCACATGGAAACAAACACCGGCCTGCCACATATCGTTGCCTTGTGATTGCTGTAGAACTGCACCATTTCCTGGGCGTTATCAGCTGTTTCCAGTTCGATCATAGCCTAAAATAACACAAACAAACATAACAGCTACAGGCAAAACCTGAAAATTGTATGAGAAATGTGATTAGTAAAACTGAAAGCATACTGCTGTTTTGGTTTTGGCTGTTTCAGTTATTGCATGATTAATTGATAGTAATTAGTGTGTTATGGGCATTGACTGCAAAAAGCTCAGGCTCACTTTATAATTTTTTTGTAGCTCATTTCTTTCTTTCTTTTTTTTTTTATTAGCTTATAATGCATTAACTAATGCAAACATTATTTTTTACCAAAACTGAAATCGAAGTTTATCAATCAGTTAATAATTTAGGTAATAACCGATTGATCAATTAAATGTATTTAATAATAAACATTCTAATAAAAAAACTAATTTAAACTGCACACAAAGTGTATTTTATATCAACTTTTTAATAATAGAATTATGTTTCTACTTCAATTTATTGTGGAATCATGGCTGTTAAAAATGTTTTAAATAAGTAAAACCAGTATAAACCAGTCAAACTTTGGAGTCATCAAGATTTCTTTATTTTTTATATTTTTGAAAGAAGTCTCACCAAGGCTGCATTTTTAAAATGATTTCTGAAGGATCATGTGATACTGAAGACTGGAGTATTGGCAGCTAAAAATCAGCTTTGCATCACAGGAATAAATTACCATTTTAAAATGCATTCAAATATAAATGAGTTAATTGAAATTGTAATAATACAAAATATTACCTTTTATACTGAATTTTTGATCAAATAAATGCAGCCCAGACTCCTTTTTATATATATTATAAAACAAGCCCCCCAACAAAAATTCTGGTTGCTGATATTTCGTGCATCACTAATTTTTACCCAACTGTAAACACAAAACACTGACCTCTTGTTTGAATGTGGATAAAGAATGCTTCACCATACTCCCAAAGGGTGCAGCCAGACTGTAAAGATCCTTCATCAAGTCAGGGGTCTTCTTTACAGGCCACACCACCACTACTTTACTATCCTGTGATTGTGCAATGAAAAATACACATTGCTCTTGATCATACTATTGAACAGGAAATATATATGTTTATTTCCTAAGACATTCAAATTTTAATGTAAATGAGAGATGTGATGCTTACCTTTGGCACAGTAGAATCTGGAAAAAAGGGAAAAAGTGAATACTGTCATAGACTTAAAGTGCATTGTGGGAGAAATTAATATGATTTGAATTTAAATTCGGCATGAAATGAAAATTCAATATTCTCTAAATGCACATTAGTGAACGATTCATAAATGCATACGTTTCATTTTTTGTTTGTTTTGACCAATATTTAATCAAAATGAATCACCTCCTGCATTGTTGTCCAGCTCATCTAATGTAACAAAATCTTCTATGTTCTCTGGAAATTCTGCATCATCCAAATCACCCTATAGAGAAATAAGACAAAGCACACACATCGCTGTTAGTCAGACGGCATCAACATGTTCATGTTGTTTCCGCAATTTTTTATTTTTTTTAATTCATATACCATAACACTAGAAAATATGGTGAAAGTTTTTTTTTTTTGGGACAAATACCCCAAATGTGAGGCAAATTGGCGCTCGTTCACGGTAGTGACAATCACGCAGTGTGAATTATCAAAGACGTGATCTGAGAGAATCTAAATATCTGGACCTGTCGGCGATTCAAAATCCTGATGTGTGAAATTAGTTCTGACTGAAAAATACATCAGCGATGACCTACAGCCAATAAGAGAGCAAGATACAGGGCAGCGGGAAGTTCGGGGAGGACGTTTTGTTTGTTTGTGTGTGTGTGTGTGCGTCCGTTTCATTTTTTATTAAGCAATTATTAAACAGGTGCATGAAGAAATATATATGCATAATATATATATATATATATACACACACACACACACACACACATACACAGTCATGGCCAAAGGTTTTGGAAGTGACAAATTTTGTTTTGCAAAGTTTACTGCTTAAGCTGTTGTGGTGTTCATTAACGTTGTTTCTAGATTATTGTGTAGAGTGATCAAATGCATTTTAAATAATTACTAAAAGTTTAATTGGCCAAAGATAAACTTTTCTCAAAAACACACATTTCACTGTTTTTTTGATCCTGACACAATTTTTTAATAAATTGTAATGTAACATTAATTGACTAATCATATCAGCAGCACATGTGAAAGTGTGAATGAGTACTAGTCAGGTTAATCACTATCATACTAATTAGATTGTAAGAGCAGACTGATTGCTACAAAAGTAGGGAAGAAGCGCTTCCAATCATTGTGTTCTTGTTAGCAATGGTTAACTCCAAAGAAACACGTGCAGACATCATTGCTTTCCATCAAAATGGCCTCACATGCGAGGAAATTGCTACAAAGAATATTGCACCTGAAAGAACCATTTACCAGATCATCAAGAACTTCCAGGAGAGAGGTTTGACTGCAGTGAAGAAGTCTTCAGGACGTCCCAGATTGTGCAGCAAGCGCCAGGACCGTCTCCTCCTGAGGGGTCAGCTACGGAATCGTGTCACCACCAGTGCAGAGCTTGCTCAAGAATGGCAGCAGGTTGGTGTGAGAGCATCTGCACGCACAGCGAGGCCAAGAGTTTTGGACAACGGCCTGGTGACAAGAAGGGCAGCAAAGAAGCCACTTCTCTCCAAGAAAAACGTCAAGGACAGACTGAAGTTCTGCAGGAAGTACAAGGATTGGACAGCAGAAGATTGGTGCAAAGTTATTTTCGCTGATGACGCTCCCTTCCGACTGTTTGGGACATCTGGAAAATCGATTGTTCAGAGAAGAAAAGGTGAACGCTACCATGAGTCCGGTGTTGTGCAGTGAAGCATCCTGAGACCATCCATGTGTGGGGTTGCTTTTCAACCAAGAGAGTGGGCTCTCTCATAATTCTGCCCAAAAACACTGCCATGAATAAAGAATGGTATCAAAACGTCCTGCAAGAGCAACCTCTTCTAACGATCCATGAGCAATTTGGTGATGATCTATGCCTTTTCCAGCATGATGGTGCACCATGTCAAAAAGCCTTTAAAACTTATGATATGCTTATCGGTTTTTCAGTATACCATAGAAACATGTGGAAAAATAATCAACAAATACTGAAGCAGCAAATTTTGCAATTTTTGGCAAATGAGAGACGAGCCTTTGTGTTCTTTTTGGTCAGCAGTGGCTTTTGCCACTCAGCTTTAACTCAGCTTTCTAAAATAATGTGGTTAATTGCAGTTCTTTCATGATTTAACAGGAGGGGGCAATTAATTTTTCACGTAGGGCCACGTAGGTTTGGACAGCTTTTCTCCCTTAATAAATGAAATCATCATTTAAAAACTGCATTTTGTATTTATTTTTTGCATTATCTTTGTGTAATATTTAAATTTGTTTGATGATCTGAAACATTAAAGTGTGACAAACATGCAAAAAAATAAGAAATAAGGAAGGGGGCCACATATATATATAACAATTAAATTAAAAGGAGGCTAGGGTTTTTTAGAGTTGTCGGCAATTCTTCCTATTGTAAAGTCATGCAGTGTGTAATCTCCAACAGCAACTGAATGCTACCCCAGATAGTCGTGCAGTGTGAAAACAACGATGATCCGATGATTTTGAAAATCATGCAGTGTGAACTCGGCATTAGTGGTTGTTTGGATTCCATTCTGCATTCAGAATTATTGACAGTTGTGAAACTAGTGAAGTTCATTCACATGGATCAATAATTCAGTATATCATTCTTAAGGACAAATAATGCAAACCATGTTTTCTTAAATGCAACATTTTTTTTATACTTTGTTTAGACTGGCTTTTTTTTTACCCCATTAGAACAAGTGATTTTGGACTTAGTACTGGTACTTAGTGGCCTGGATGTATTTGTTTATTTATATATTTTACTGCTGCTGCTTCACACCAAAGCTGTTTATGTTGCTTTTGTCTATGGCTTTTGTTTATATCTAAGGATCTAATTTGAGTTGCTAATAGTAACCTGGGTTTGTGCAACTTTAAGAGAGCAAACAAGCATTTTATTATGTTGCTCAAGTTTGAGGTCAGTAAGATTGAAAAAAATATATATTTTTTTAAAGAATTCTCTTCTGTTCACCAAGGCTGCATTTATACGCTCAGATAAAAAGCATTTTAAAAATGACACACTCTACCTTCTATCAACTCACCTCTTCCTCTTGATTCTGCTCTGAACCTCTCTCTCTATTATCCTCCTCAGCAGTGGCAGGTTTCTCCTCTTCTATCTTTTCCTCCTCTTCCTTTTTTTCTTTCTCCTCAGTTTTAACCACAATGCCTTCTGACCCCTCATCAAGCAGCCCAGGTTCATCCTCCAACTGAATTCCTTCCTCATCATCGAGAACCTTGTCTTCACTTTCCATCAACTTGTCTTCTTTCTCTGTGGCTTCCTGGTTTGAGCTGTCACTTTTGTCCTTGTTGCTAGATGTAGACTCTTCTCTTTGTCTGCTGTACTTGCTTGAGTCCGATTTTCTGGTCACAGACTCTGGACTATTTTCTCTGAAAAAAAAAAAGGTTTTCAGTTAAGGAAGCATTTAAAATAATCTTTAAAAAGTTCAATTCATGTTAAGCTCTATGGACACTATCTGTGATTAATCAAAACATCTCCATATTCAGCTAATGGAGGCATGATTCACTTTATTTCCTAATTTTCCCAAACATACAGCACTTATAAATTATATGAATCATGAATGAATAAATTAAAACTAAATTAAAATCTTGTTTTCAATCGTTGTCATTTAGAAATGAGATTGCGTTTGAATCGAGATCTTTTAACAATTAATCATTCTTTGTACAGTTTTGGAGGCTTTTGACAGTTTTTTTTCATAATTTTTCATAATTCTCAGACTGTTTTGACCAGTGGATTGACTCACACAGTAATCACGAATAACTGCAGTATAACAAACATTTTATAATGACCACACAAATTACATCAATTACTGAACCAACGCTGAACTGACTTGAACTAAATGATGACACTGTTGTCTTGAGCTGCTTTACAGCAGAATCTGAATGACTGTAAAGCAGTACTTTAAATGTAGCACCATTACACTTCCACAGACTTTGTGCCCCACAACTATACATGTGCGATATATTCAGAGACACATGATATATCGCATTCAGTAATGCGATATATCAGGATAATGAACATGCATGATATTGTTATCATGGTCACTTCAAAATACAGTGAATAGTTATTTATTACAAATTATTCCGATTTTTTTGAATGCATTAAAAGAATACTTTTCCCATCAATCGGGTAAAATGCACAACACCAACGTATGTAGTAGGCTTGCTGCAATAGACAGTGTTGACGGTTTTACCAGTGAGAAGCCTCAACACCAGTTATGTCACTTGCCCACCGCGGCACCACCCCACCATCATTTAGATTTTTTATAGTAATAAAAATAATTTAGTTCAGTTAGAGAACAGACACTACAATTAAAACTGAACGCGGCTGCTCAATGCAGCGTGCCGAACGATAGTAGCATCACAGATCAGATTTCATTTATCACGAGCTGACTGATAAGAAGAGTGAGGTGAGACAGAAAAGATGATGGCAGAAGTGTTTTTTAAAACGAAATGTACATGCGCCTGTTTTAAAAATATTTTGGATTTTGAAAAGCCTGTTGACTTTTGCCGTTTATTTAAAGTGATATAGTTCAGTTAGAGAACAGACACTACAATTAAAACTGAACGCGGCTGCTCAATGCAGCGTGCCGAACGATAGTAGCATCACAGATCAGATTTCATTTATCACGAGCTGACTGATAAGAAGAGTGAGGTGAGACAGACAAGATGATGGCAGAAGTGTTTTTTAAAACGAAATGTACATGCGCCTGTTTTAAAAATATTTTGGATTTTGAAAAGCATGTTGACTTCTGCCATTTATCTAAGGTGATATTGGAAGTTTTTTTAAACATTCGTTTCTTATTTATTTGGTTCCACAGTGTTTACTGATCTTCAGTTTTGTATACCTAAACTTTGTGTAAGTTATTTGTTATTATATATTAGGCATCGAGTATTTTAATTCATTTTGTTAATAAAAGTTCTATGTTCTATTTTGTTGTTGCTTGAATTTAATTGACGCTAATTTGAAACAAAGTAAAATGCGCATAGGGCTTTTAAGCTATGTAAAAGTGAAGGAAAGTGAGGAAAAGAGGGAAAACTCAAACGAACTAAAAACAAACAACTGCTTGACACTGAATTGTCGCTAATTTGAAAGTGAAAGTAAAATGTTCACTGCACTTTTACAAGCTATTTAAAACGGAAGGAAATAAGGAAAAGACCCCAACCCCCCCACCCCCTCCCTTCCGGGTTAACGGTATTACCGGTATTGTCACACGTCGATTAAGCGGTGGGAACCTCAGTAAACCTGTAAACAAAGCAGCTTTGTATAAACTGCCAATGAAAAATTATTCTAAGCATATATTAATCTTAGTTTAGCACGTTGTTAAAATTAAATATTGTAACTATTATTTAATATTTAATAAATTTTTTGTGTATTGCTTTATTGTATTTAAACGTTCAGTTCTTTTTGTTATAAGAAAAAAGTTATTAAACCTGTTATACTGTATTATGACAACACTTTTTTTGCAACTAAATTTCAATACCGTGATAATACTGTAAAAGCTTTAGCAATTATCGCAACATGAAAATTGTATACCGTCACAAGCCTACCCTCAATCAACACACTGGTCTATGTACCTCTTTAGGGCTTGAGATATCAGAAGTCTCTTACCTCAGGGTTGTGATGTGCGACATGGACACTTTAACACTTTTGCCCTGAATCCTCAGTGGGTTACTGTAGTAATACTTCACCATGATGTCAGCATCACGCCAGTCAACCATCTCAATCAAGGCCTACACATATAGACATACAAGAGTTTTACTGGGAAAACAAACAAAATGTACAGGTGCATCTCAATAAATTAGAATGTCGTGGAAAAGTTCATTTATTTCAGTAATTCAACTCAAATTGTGAAACTCGTGTATTAAATACATTTTATGCATAAAGCTTGTCAGCAGAAGGAAGCATGAAGTGCTCTAAAATTTCCTGGTAGATGGCTGCGTTGACTGTGGACTTCAGAAAACACAGTGGACCAAAGTCCTCTTTTCAGATGAAAGTAAATTTTGCATTTTATTTGCAAATCAAGGTCCCAGAGTCTGGAGGAAGAGTGGAGAGGCACAGAAACTTGAAGTCCAGTGTGAAGTTTCCACAGTCAGTGATGATTTGGGCTGCCATGTCATCTGCTGGTGTTGGTCCACTGTGTTTGAAAACTGCTGAAAACTGTCAGAACACAGTGGATCACAGTTTACTGTTTATGGGGCTGCGTAGCTGCAGACCGGTCAGAGCTCTGTCCACCACCAAAGCATCTACATGAGCGTCAGAACTGGACCATGGAGCAATGGAAGAATGTTGTCTGGTCTGATGAATCACGTTTTCTTTTAGATCAGACGGATGGCCAGATACATGAGTGTTGTTTACCTGGAGATGAGAAGGCAGCAGGATGCACTATGGGAAGAAGGCAGGCTGGCGGAGGCAGCTCTGCACAATGTTCTGCTGGGAAACCTTGGGTCCTGGCATTCATGTGGATGCTACTTCGACATGTACCACCTACCTAAAGATTACTGAAGACCATGAACATCCCTTCATGGCAATGGTGTTTCCTGATTGCAGTGGCCACTATCAGTAGTGTAATGCACTGTCTCACTCTGCAAAAATTGTTCAGGAATGGTATAATGAAAACATTCCAAAAAGCTCACAGTGTTGCTTTGGTCTCCAAATTCTCCAAATCTCAATCCAACTGATTATCTAGAGCAGTGGTTCTCAAACTGGGGTACGCATACATGACAGAGGGGATCCGTAATCAAAGTACTGAAATGTACCGTTAATTTAATTATATCACACTCTTAAATAACAATAAACTAAGCATGTGTTTCTCACAGGCGCGTGCCCTCTCTAGAGTACAAAAAAAATGGTAGTGCCATATTTTGCGGTCAAAAAGTGCACCTCTCTTTGCTCACATGCGTCAATCGGAGTGTAAACAGTGAGAGATGTTGTGGTAAGCACGGCGTTTAGGTGCTACGGGACGTGCGCTCCGTTATGGATTAAAAGAAAGGAATAAAATATAAGGTAAGGTGGCAAATAGGTAAATAATTGTAGAATTGCACTGTTTGCTAACATGTATCAATCCGCATGCGTGACGCTTACGTACCACTGGACTCACATTCCATCATGAGATCTTTAGGCAGGTGAAAAGCGTGTCGTTAATGCGTACCGTTGTGGCTCCCGCTGGTAAAAAATGGTTAGCCTATATATTGTGTAAGGTGCAAGACAGGTAAAAAAAACAAATAGAAGGAGACCCGGGTTGCATTGTCTGTTTTTTCACATGCATCTCGAATTGGGAGCTGCCTCCCGGATGGCACGTTTTGTGGCAGCTGCCTTGCAAAGATGTTTTCCCTTACTGCAAATCGCGCTGTAAAGACCTTGATGCCCTTTGTGACAACGTACCTTTACGTTCTCAGCACTTACTGGCATAAAGAACATATCGACATAGACTGTGTGGGAGAGGAGGATGTTAAATGCCTGGGGCTGGTTGCACCAGTTGGACATACACCCAGTTGTAAGACTAGGCTGGATGTAAAATGCTCTTTAATTTGTGCGTAGAATTTATACCCGTTGCACCATCTCGGCGTAGTTCTATGTAGAGACTAAATCTTACACCTAGACAGAAGTAGGTGAAAAGTGAAAAGTCATGATTTGCTCAGACATTATTAGTTTTTAGGATTCATGTCTGTTAGTTAATTATTACTGCAGACATGAACTGTAATGTTTATGGTATTTTCGGGCAGGATAAGCGATATCAATCGCGAAGCCCAGTGTAGACTATACCACACTGCCGATAGTAATAGACCTAATACAAAATATATTTCAGTACAGCATGTAGCCTAATTATGCAATACAACATTGCATATGATCTGGGATTATTAAAGGGGTCATATGATGCGATTTAAATTTTTCCGTTCTCTTTGAAGTGTTACAAGCTCTTGGTGCATAAAGAAAATCTGTAAAGTTGCAAAGACTAAAGTCTTAAATCCAAAGAGATATTCTTTATAAAAGTTAAGCGTCAACCACGCCTACCTAAAACGTCTCATTCTAACACGCCCCCACATTCCTAAATCACTATGTGGGAAGATTTGCAAAACGCCGCCCAAATGTTCATGCAAAGAAAGGCGGCGTAACTTTTATTCTTGCTGTAGTATTGTTGCTGCCACCAGTCGTGAAGGCGCTGTGTGTTTCGTTGTGAAAGCGAAAATACTTTGTTTGGCCTTCCAAAAGAGGACGATATCCACTTCGTCATGCCTAGAGCTGATCCGTGCTGGTCGCTGAGGAAATACATCAACTTCGCGCTGTGGTCCAGCCCGGGGTCATCACATGTGGTTTCCGCAAGCCCGCCGACCTCCGCTCACTCTAGCCCGCCCGCCACTGCTCACTCAAGCCGCCGTGTGTTTCGTTGTGAAAGCAAAACTACTTTGTTTTGCCTTCCAAAAGAGGACACGACTAGAAATCACTGGTTAAGTTGTATTTACAACACTGTTCCAAAACAGTTCAACCCAAATAGTCAGATGTGTGCAGCACATTTTATGGAGGACTGTTTCCTGATCCTGTGAGAGTAGACTACAATGCCAGCTTTTCTGACTCACAGACTGTAAGTTAGTTTTCATATTTAAAGGATTTGCCACTGACGATTCAAACGCGAGTTTTGAGCAGTGTAGAGTAGCGCTTGTTGTTTGTCATTTCTCCGATCACAAATACAGACATGGTTTTATGTTTACGCGGCGCGATACAACACAAAAAAGTCATTATAATCCGTAATAATGTCCACACTGGATGCAACAAATGCCTAGTTTATAATGGGTTTTAATGTGTTTGTCTCGTCGCTCTGGCTGGACAGGGCATCACAGTATGGTAAGGGGAGTAACATTTCCATTACATGCTTGAGGTATTCAGCCAATCACAAAGCACTGGATAGCTGGCCAATCAGAGCACACCTCACTTTTCAGACCGAAGAGCTTTGTAAAAATCGACGCATTTCAGAAGGCGGGGCATAGAGGAGAAACAATAATATACAGTATGTGGAAAATAATGTTTTTTTAACCTTAAACCGTATAAACATTTCATTATACCAAATACACAAAATAATGTTCTTTTTAGCAGCATCATATGACCTCTTTAAGACCTCTTGAAATTATAATTAAGACTTTCTTGTACAATTTAAGACTTTTTAAGGCCTTATATTTGATACAACTAAATTTAAGACTTTTTAAGACCCCGCGGAAACCCTGTTTCCACCGCCCTAGTTTGTACATTAAAAAATCCCATTGTCTCTTGAGTTTCACTAAAAGTTGACATCACAAGTTCTTCAAGATGGTAATCCTCACCTTACTGTCAGTGAACTTTGACTGCCACACCTCACCAAACATGCCTGCAAGCTCCAGCACTTCAGCCTCCATGTCCTCCCCCAGAGGCAAACGTGAAAAACAAACCACTGAAGGCGCATTTGAACGTTTTGTTCGTTTTGGTGAAGGCACATCAAACTTGGGTGGTGTCTGTCGATCAAATATATGCAAAAAAAATTTAACTGTCAATTGAAATCCATGATAAATTGATAGATTGTATAGAGGATGTGATTTGTGGGGTTCCTACTCACATAAATGCCTTCCACTGTTGGTGATAAGTAGAGGATTACTGGGTTCTCCTTTATGAAGGCTGGTTTCAACTGGAAGTGATTGACCATATTCTGAGCCTCCTTGTGAGAATTAAACTCCAAAAATCCCTGTTACCCAGCAACACCCATACAAATAAATGAATAAAGATTCAAAAAAACAATGAGAGGTGTTTTTAAAACCTGTTTCACATATACTAGGTGCGTATGAGTGTGACTGGAATGTGAATGGGTGTCATGCCATCAGAATGAGAGCTGATATAAACATCACAATAATCCACAGATAATCCACACAACTCCAGTCCATCAATTAAAGGGATAGTTCACCCAAAAATGAAAATTCTGTCATTAATTACTCACCCTCATGTCGTTCCAAACCCGTAAGACCTTCATTCATCTTCGGAACACAAATTAAGATATTTTTGATGAATTTCGAGAGCTTTCTGACCCCCCATAGACAGCAAGGGTACTAGACGCGGAGGAAACAAATTGTTGAATAAAGTCGTTGTTTTTGTTTTCTTTTGCACACAAAAAGTATTCTCGTAGCTTCGAAAAATTACGGTTGAACCCCTGATGTCACATGGACTATTCTAACGATGTCCTTACTATGTTTCTGGGCCTTAATCGTGGTAGTACCCTTGCTGTCTATGGGAGGGTCAGAGAGCTCTCGGAATTCACCAAAAATATCTTAATTTGTGTTCTGAAGATGAAGTTGCATTATTATGAATTATGGACTCATATTTTGGCCATAAGGGATGACATAACTTCCTCAGGGCCTCAAAAAGGCCTCAGGGTGAGAATTTTCAGTAATTTATCGTTTTGAGTTAACTATTCCTTTAATAGGGGTTGTGCGCAACAGACTTCCATATTCTGTTAACCGGGTCTCGTTGCTTTCGGTTCAAGCGTTTTGCATATGCTTAGTTAAATATGAAGCCGTTTTACTCGAGATGCCTTCAAAGTAGATACCAATGATGATCATAACCAATGTTCATCACATATGCGGACTGATATCAAAAACATTTAGATATAAAAATGTAATAAAACGTCAACAATAAAAACAGCTAGCTAGTTTAACTGATTATCTTAAAAGTCCATAGATATCGCTATTATTTAATACGGCTGTTAACACATTCTCCGACAAGCGGAAGCAATGAGACCTGTTTTCCGGGTTTGGTCATGTGATGTTCGACATATACCCTATTTCACTCAATTCGAGTTTAATTTGGTGCTATCTGCTAAACTTCACCTTTCACATTCCACAGAATAAAGTCGGCCATGCAGGTTTAGAACAATGTGAGTGCAAGTACAAGATTTGTACATTTTGATATTTAAACTACCCCTTTAAATATCACTGTAATAAAATTCTGTTACAGAAGTCATTAGTAAAGTGTTATAATGCTACAAGACACTGTTAAACATGTTTACTGCTCAATCACAATACAAAAATCAAGCAATAATGGGCAAAACAAAGTTGCAAGTTGTCATGAAATTACAAAATGGTTCACCACTGAGAATAAATGTATAATGTCTTTCTGGTGTGTAATTACCTTTGCTGGGAACACCAGGTGTTTCACAACTGTGCCGAATGGTTTGCCAAGCTCTAAAAGCTCCCCCACGGCCACAGCACCCATAGGAAATTTGGCAACTACCACTCTTGTATTGGGCTGAGGATAATATAACCACATGAATAAAAGCAATTTGAGTGCAAAAATAACAGAAATGAACACAAGACAGCAGCACACAACTTAAATTACCTTAGGAGGGTAGAGGTGGTCTGATGTGGTGGACATGTACTGATCCCCTTAAAAAAAACATTTGTTAAATGTATGAATTTTGTGCAATTTAGTTGTTATAAAAATGTATGCAGTACTATATAAAATAACTTAAATTTTAAAACTTAAAAACCCTATGAAATGGCATGATGAGCCCGTTTTCTTTCATATGTTGATGTATTTCCTGTTTAAACAGGAAGTTGGAGAAAATTATACTTAAGGAATTGGCATTTTATAAATAGCCAATAGGTTTTAGCTAATGTCACAATCATGAGAGCATTTAAATGGACAAAAATTAACCTATACAGAGGAATTTAAAAGATCAATATTTTTGGTTTATCTCTTCTGTGAGCACTTAACTGCATCTTAATAAATAAATAAATATCTATCTATGCTTTCACTTTCCCTTAATCCCTCCCTGTTCTAGCTTGTACTATTCTAAACGATGTTTAAAACTTTGTATTACAAGCACTTGTGTTATTTGCCTCTTTAGGTTGAATCACTTATTGTATTTCTCATTTGTAAGTCACTTTGGATAACTGAGTCTCCAATTGAATAAATGAAAAATGAATAAAGGTAAATTGTGGTTCAATTTCAAGAAAAAGAGGGAACATTTTTATATTTGCTGTAATTTCCTCCACTTCTAGGAGTACGCTAGCTTGCAGATGATCTCAAAGTTAACAGGCATGAACTAAAAGACACCAAACCCTTTTCTGGGGTGTTAGTAATGAATTAGTAATGAAGTAATGAAATTATTATTCTTACAGTCAGAGTTGCAGGGTTTTTTAGGGGGTGGAAATGAGCGAGTACTTCGTTCCGATTCACGTAATTTGTGGCGGACACCTGAAAGATGGTCTTTCCATGTCTGACAGTTAAGAAAACAAAACATAAGCATTCAGGATAGTGATACAACAGATTATGATAAACACCTTCATCCAGAAAGAAAATCATACATCATGGTATGAGTATAATATATTTATCTAAATGATAATGCCTAACTTTGGATATTCTAGTTAATTAAATGTCTAGTTTTTGAAATATTTTTAACTTCTTTGGACCCAAAGAAAAACATTTCAAAATCATGATTGAATGAGTCACATTCAATATGCATGCACTATATCTATGAGGGAACCAAAATGAAACTCCACTTGTCTGGGTATTTTTGTATTCCCTCACTTCCCAATGTTAAGCAGTACTACTCGCTAACAGCAGCATGGATAGCTTTACCCATAAAAAGTAAACTCTTCTGAACCATTAGTCACAATGCCCAGCGCTAATTTGTGATTTTACATTTATAGGTATTTTGTTGTTTCACTTTAATTGTTTGTTTTATGGTGGTACACAATTTACCACATATCTTTTTATTTTTGCTAGCTACCTTCATGGAATTCAGCACACACTTGCAAAGAGAGCATTTGTGTGGGAAAACCATTGGGATGTCACCAGACTCCGTCTCCTCAGTCACATGATGCCCGCTTTGTCTTTCACGGGATGACTTCCTGTAACCCATTTCTTTTCTTCCTCCTGGGGTTAGGTTGTACTTCTCAACTTTCCTATGCCCCTCCCCTCTCCCATGATGGCTTCCGTGGCTCCCAGAGCGCCGCGCTGAGCTGGAAGTCAAGGGGCTTCTGCATCTGTCACTGGTGCATCTTTCGGGTGTATTCAGCTTGTCCTGTGAAATTCTGGACTTGTCTCTGAAGTCGGTGTCTGCGGTAGCTGACTCATTATGGGCTCTCTTCGTCTTGAGCTGCATGATTAGATGAGGGAGGGTTTCTACGCTAATTTCACTTTCAGGAATCTGAGCAAGTGCATCCACATCTTTTGATGACAAGCCGAGCGTCGCATACAGGCTCTGCGCACCAATAGTCTTGGCCTCATTGGTGTTTTCACTGGCACCGCCATCAAATGTGTCCATTGCCAACCTTTACAGACAGAAAAGAGAATCAGGGAGCAGTCTGAGATTTCACACAGTCAGAACAGAAAAGGCAAATCTATTACGTTTGATTATGGATTTCTTAAACTGAGAAGATGGCACCAGAGATGATCATTATACTACAACAATACAAACATAACATGGTTGATATTATTATATAACATGTATATGTTATCATGCAACACAGAAAAAAACTGAGAAATATCTCAAGTTTTTACACTGATTTACACAGAATGGGACAAAAACAGAGCCAAAAAATATTGATGTGTTAACACTTGAAGAATAGTATTAGTGACAAAACTGACCATATAGGTACTGGAAAATATTACTTTGTTTATATGTATTGCTATTAATGTGATTAGGCTGACAATGGCACCAAGTCTTTACAGAGTCACAGAGAGAGTCCACTTTTATGACTGTAAACATTTAAGTACAATTTTAAATAATGCACTTTGTACTAATGTCACATTAAATTATTTATTTTCAATCATTGTTTTCAAGTAATACACTTTATGTGACTAACAAACTAAAGCGCATGAAACATACTTGATCATTTTAGCTGTAGTGCATTATTTGAAATTACATTTAAAGTTAATATTTTTTAAATGTACTAAATTACAACATCATTACATGTGTAATTATAAATTTATGTAAAAACATGACATACTAGTTTCAATAGAAAGTACATTGAATATATTTTAGTTTACCATAAATGCTTGTCAGTACATTCAGCAGTAAACTTTAATCATATTTCAAAGAACACAGAAATAATTATGCAACGCAAAATATAAAGATGTACTTAAGTCCAACTTATGGGTAGTCAAAAAAGCACTCAAAAGTTAAGCTAGCTGCATTTAATATAAATTTAAGTTATCAATCATTTTTATTAATTGCCGTTAACATGCAACCTAAAAGTAATGTTTTCAGACACTATTCTTTTGAAGCATATTATTTCTGTAATAAATACTGTCTTTAAATGTACGCTAAAGAGGGGTCAGATTTAAGATATAATTACCTAATTGTATTTTTCTATATATTTCTTTATGTTTGTTGCACAACATTACTTTGATTTGGTGGACAAGTGTGATGCCAAACACCTTAATAATGTTTGCAAGAATTTCATTTTGTTAATGAGAATTTTTTTCCATCACTGTGATTCCCGGATTTCTGCATCACCATAGCATAAAATATACACAGTGAAATTAATTTTAATTCAGAAATTAAAACCCTGTTCATGCATAGAAGAGGCGCATTGGCTGTATGCATTAACTGCAAATTAATTAATAGATTCACAATTCACAAAAGCATTTGAAACTAAATTATTTCATTTATGATTATCAATTCACATAGCTGGCAGAGATTAAGGAACTGACACACATAAAGTTAAAGCTTATGTTAACTAAACATTGCTTATTAATCTATGTCGATATAATATTAAAATGCCAATATATGCTGGTTTGTAGATATCACAATTAACACGTCACAAGATTACAGTTTGTAGCTATTTACAACAGTGGCCTAATATCACAATTTTAAATGGTACATAAAGTACAGCTTTCCAATTGTTGTAAAATAGTAAATCTATCAGACAAGAAGTGCTAATTGCATAGTCCCATCTCAAACTAAATTCATGTGAAAAATACTAAGTTTGGATATTCTTAACTTAAAAAAGACAGGCTCTCCCTGCATTCAAAGTCATGGCCCAACCCCTTTTTGAGTCTGTTTTATGTGACAGGTTTGAGGATTGTTCTTAGGTTTTGTGGTCTTTAAAACTTTCTAGGATTGACTAAATGGGCATTATTATTTTGTTAAATTTGCACCTTAACATGAAATATATCTTGCAATGGTTTAGAATAATAAACCATCAAAATGGCCGTGGCCAACCTCCTTGGTACAGTTAGCCGCAGAGCTAATCCACAGCTAAATATAATATTTGTCAAAAGCATCTTCAAACGCTAAAACTGCCCAAAGCAATTACATTTGTCGTGAAGGCGCAGATGTAAACACGAGCAAGAAACGTGTCGCAGGCTGATCAATAACTACCAGTAACTTCGCCAAATGGTTTGATTAACTTTGGCACTGTTGATTATTTCATTACTTTACACCTATAACAAATAAAACGACTACAAAAGAACATTCTATAATTGCTCTTACACAACAAAATAATACAAACAGTTATAATAATCACCCAAATGTCCGTCAAGAAGCGCTCCTTGATCAATTTGTAAATATCGATAGGACCCCTGGATTTCTTCTTCTGAAATGTGTTGGTTGCGATTCACTCGAATGGTGCAAACACTGCCACCTAACGTTACCTCTCTGAAGCAATAACAGAGGGACGAGGACAAGACGGACCAAAGGGTCAAAGATTATTTCATATGGGCACCAGTAACTAATGGAGTTTATGTAAGTGTTTACAATGCAAAATATAGAATGGTAGTAAAACAATTAAGGACAGAAGAGAATTAAGTGCAAGGGACAAGTAAGGTGTCATAAGCCTTGCGGTGTTCGGCAAATCACAATGCACTGGGTCAGCTGGCCAATCAGAGCAGACTGCGCTTGTCGGAAGGAGGGACTTTGTAGAAAACGAAGCGTTTGAGAGAGGCGGGGCATAGAGGACCTACAATAATGTACAGTATTTGAAAAATAATGTGTTTTTTGAACATTAAAGCATGTCAACATATTCTGTTACACCAAATACACAAAATAATGATCTTTAAAAAAGCATCATATGACCCCTTTAATGAATGTTAGGCCTATATCAAGCCTTGGGGCACCACAAGACATGTAGAGGTATTTGAACCCAGCAATACTAGGACCTAAACCAGTTTAGGTAGTTCTGTAATCATCAATCATGTGATTGTCTGTCAAATGCAGCACTGAAGGTCTAGAGAGCTACAACTGACAGGTTTTCTAAGTCCTTATTAACTTGCAGATTAATTAAAACTGTTAGAAGAGTAATTTCTGCTTGATTCTTTTGGGAGTTTGGCCCTAGAAAAAAAAGAACAGGCTCTCATACTAGGTTGTTCGAAAAACACAATATTTTTCACACATTTTACATTATTACAACACCTCTCTCCCCAGTCTGGCATGAACGGCTCGAATAGTTTCTGTATCAAATGAAGGCCCACCTTCTGAAATACGACATGTGCTGTGATTGGTTAGCTGGGCCAGTGTGTGTTGTGATTGGCAGCACTCAGCGCCTGGTCGGGAAATGTCATGCCCCTTACCATAGCCGCCTGCCAGCTTCAGTGTAAATATTGCGTCAAAATCAAATCAATTTGAGCGCGATTTAAACCCGGATGATTGCAATCACTCTAAGTTCGTCTGCCTTGGGAAATCTAGCGTGTCTCCGACATAGTGATAACACTCGTTGCCTTCTCTAGTGCAGCTCAACCAGGTCTCGTCCTATTCGTCGATATTTGTGATATCACAAATCCCGGAAAACATGCGTTGTAGTCCAAACGAGTCATTCGTTGTAGTTTTTGAAAAGTGATTTCTGTTAAATAAAATATCTCCTTTGGAATTGGACTTTGAGCTTTGTAACGTCGCAGATCTTTTTTTATGCTCAAACAGCAACATTACAGACTAACTAAAGTTGAAAAAGTGAAAAAGCATAATAGGACCCCTTTAAGGAATTTAGTAATGGGTCAAGAAGAGGGCAGCTAGAAGAGTTCATAACAGTTGTCACTGTGAAAGTGTTCAGATGACATTTCACAGTAGGAGGAAAGTTAGAATCCATACTAGAAGAACAGGTGCTGGCTATGCTTAGTCTTACACTCTTAAAAATAAAGGTGCTTCACGATGCCATAGAAGAACCTTTTTTGTAAATGATTCCATACAGAACCTTTAACATCTGAAGAACCTTTCTGTTTCACAAAAGCATTTGTTTTAGCATTTGGCAGGTCATTTTATCGGCAGCCTTGAGCATTAGATGTAGCCAGGAGCGCATTAATGCACGAAGAACCTTTCTGTTTCACAAAAGCATTTGTTTTAGCATTTGGCAAGTCATTTTATCGGCAGCCTTGAGCATTAGATGTAGCCAGGAGCGCATTAATGCACGGGCTTTAACGGGCTGAAGCCCAGGGGCCTACACTGTGAAGGGGGCCCACTGGCTGCAAGGAAATTATATTTTTTCGAATAATTATTTGAAAATATGGGAATTTGCAGCAGTGACAATAGCATTTTGTAAACAAACTCACACACTTATTTTCAGCGATGCCCTGGTTGTAGTTTTTAGTGAATGGTTCAGTTTAAGTTTCCCCCACACAGTTTGTTGGTTTGTGTGTATTCCACCGATATACTAGCGGAATACACAATGCATGCGGCATGCGCTAGTATATGGAAGCATACAGGTAGCGAAATTCAATTTAAAATGCAATATGCAAAATGGCAATGCAATATGCAAAATGGCAACGCAATATTCAAAAATATTCAAAATGGCCATGTATTTCTGTATTTAAATTTACATTTTCCATTAAAGCCCAGCACGAGATGTCTTTATGTTAACGTGCAAGAAATCAACACAGCACAGCAACACAATCAACAAGAAACACACTGCTGTGTGAAAGGAGCTGGACCGGACAACTTTCTGTAACGTCAAACAGTGAGAGTTCAGTGACTTGCATGGATGTAGACTATGTGTGTCAACTGGAGGTTTTAGATTCAGTCACTGTGTTCCAATGCTGCTTCAGAGTCTCAATCTCAAATCTGGGGATGGAAGAATAGGAATCATCCTATTGTTTAAATGTGATCATTAAACTTTGAACGGCTATGATTGAATGAATTAAGCGCGAGCACGGCACGTTTCAAAATAAAAACGCAGTTAGCAATCACCAAATATCTCACATATATGCCAACTTGCCAAGTGTTGTTCCGATCTACTGATGATGAATAATTAATATTTTATGTAATTTATGGTGTTTAAATCATACCTGTAAACTCACATTTCGGCCAGGAAAGTTTTGATGGCATTTTCTTTTCATATTACCTCTGTATAATGCCTGTAATAACATAAGGTTTACTTTATGTAACTGTTCCACAAGCGCCACTTTCTGGCAAAGAATGAATTTGCATATTCACTTATATTCACATTTTATGCAGAACAGTGTTGTGAATTGAATGTTAACTGGCATATCAACAAGGGAAATGTTTAAAAAATGTGACATAAATAATTGTCAGGAAGCTTAAAAAAAAGTTATCTAGGGAAGGGGGGCCTACTGTAACGCTGTAGAGCAGGGGCCTCTGGTTATCTTAAGGCGCCCCTGGATGTAGCCTATCATTTGAGCATTTAAGCATTTTATTGATTGCGAATTATGTTAGGGGGAAACGTATTGTAGGCGTACTGCCTATATTAAAAGCATAATAAACCAAAACAGTGTCCCAAATTCAAGATATGTTTTTGTGTGCTGTTGTTGAGATATAGTTCACATACTGGATTTCACCATGTAGTGGCACTTACATTTCCTATTTCCTACATTACCACTTAGGGAAATAAAGGTATAAACAAACGTTTTTTTTTTTAACCATTCATTCTTTTATTTTTTTGAAACAATCATTACACGGGGTGCTTTTCAGTACCATAATCAAATGTTCCCTCATTTCAATTCTGAACTGCGAGAAGGAAAGAGAAAGCATGAGCTTGAAGATGCTAAACACATGCTTTTATGTCAAAGCACCTGATATATACATACATTAAATAGTTTTAAGTCATGCTTTACCTTTGTGGTTTAAATAAACCACAGACAACGTGTTTATTAAATCCTGTACCCACTAAATTACTGAAAGAGTTGTTACCTGTAGAAGAACCGCTTCTCAATATTATTAATGCGTCGTTATCTCTAGGTCATGTCCCAAAACCATTCAAGCTGGCGGTTATTAAGCCTCTTATTAAGAAACCACAACTAGATCCTAGTGAACTGGCAAATGAAAGACCCATTTCAAATGTCCCTTTTATGTCTACATTTTTTTTTAAAGTTGTGTCTGCTCAATTGTGCTCCTTCCTGCAGAAAAATTATATCTATGAAGAATTTCAGTCAGGTTTCAGGCCCCATCATAGCACAGAAACTGCACTTGTTAAAATTACAGATGACTTGCTTCTTGCGTCAGACCAAGGCTGTATCTCATTGCTAGTTTTACTTGATCTTTGTGCTGCATTCGACACTATAGATCATGACATACTCATAGATTGATTACAAAACTATACAGGTATTCAAGGGCAGGCTTTAAGATGGTTTAGATCATACCTGTCCGATCATTATCACTTTGTCTATTTAAAAGGGGAATCATCTCAATTAATGCAAGTAAAGTATGGAGTGCCACAAGATCTGTCCTATCTGTTACTCAACTATATATTTCAATAAGACCACATGAAACATCTAAATTATTTAAGCTAACAGTGTTTTAAAAATATAAAAGATTGGATGACCAATTATTTTCTCCTGTTAATTCGGATATTACTTATTGGACCAAAAAAACAGTACACAGAATCTCTTAATTACAATTTGTATCTAGATGGATGTAATGTCACTTCCTCTACAGTCAAAAAATTGGGTGTTATATTAGATAGCAACTTTTGAAAATCCTATTTCCCATGTTACAAAAACAGCATTCTTCCATCTTAGAAATATTGCCAAGTTACGAAACATGTTACCTGTTTCTGATGCAGAAAAGCTAGTTCATGCATTCATGACTGTAACAAAGTTCGTAGGGGGAAGAAAGAAGTGACTCAGGTAGGCGGTTTGGAGACTCGTGGCTCTTTTATTTCTTTCCTTAAAGTTCAACAAAACACAAACGGGGCGCTTCCAGCACGTTCTCAATCTGCCCAGGGCAGAACCTCCGTTCAGTCGGTTCTCCTCCTCCGGCTAAGGGATGGCCACGAGTCCCAGTCTCTCTCTCTCACCACGTTCTCCAGTCTGCCCTTTTATCCGGTCTCTCCAGGCTAATTACTGCAATCAGACACAGGTGTTCATCATTTTGCACTTGACCAACTTACTCACCGCTCGTCTCCCGTCCCTCTCTCCAGCTGCAGACTTCGCCGAACCACGCCTCCCTCGCCACATACCCCCACCGCCCGACTCAGGCCGGGGAGCCCCCCCCAGATACCTTACCTCCACCCGCCCAACTGCACACTTCTTCGGGTTGGCCGTCAGCCCGGCCCCTCTCAGAGCTCGTAGGACAGCCCGCAGATGCGCCATATGCCGCTTAGGCGGCATGCGGGCGGAGGATTCTGTCCATGAGCCGCTGAAAGGAAGGGTAACAAATTGGTGTAATCCAAATGGCGTCGTGAAGGCTGTCTTTTCTTTGGATAAGGG